TTAAGCTCAACGAAACTAAAACAGTTCAGGTTAACTTCACTAATAAAAGATCAGTAGAATACCTACCAGTGACATTAAATAATACTAGAATACGATATTCCAATTCGGCGAAATACGGAAATGAACCTAGATATTTAATTAATGTGGAAAAAACACGTAAAGAAAAAACGGGAAGAGTTGGGTATTAAATATAGAAAATTATACTGGTTGATGAATAGAAAATCAAAACTTTTAATCGAAAATAAACTTTTAATATATAAACAAGTTCTGAAGCCAGTATGGATTAACGGTATACAGAACTGGAGGTGTGCCAGTAAAACTAACATAAATATAATACAACGTTTCCAGAACAAAATATTAAGGGCAATAGTAAACGCCCATTGGTATGTTAGAAACTCAGACCTACACAGAAATTTGAGAATGCCTAAAGTAGAAGAAGAGAGGAAAACCATCGCAAAAAACATAAAAAAGACTGCATGATCATGTCAACATCGAAGTTCTACAGTTCCTGGACAACCAATACCAAATGAGAAGGCTCAGAAGGACCAAACCATTTGAACTAGTAATGTGAAAGTGTGTTAAAGCAGAGCACAGTGCGTGTGTAGGGCCGCCGAGAGCCAAACCGGGCCCAGGACAATTCTCCAGATCGGGCCCCGCGACAATTTTATAAAAAATAAAATAACAAACCCTCTACTGGAATTTTTCTAAAAAAAGGTCTTTAAGCAAAAATGTCTACTCTTCAACTTGAATTTCTCTCAACCTCACCTAAAAACTTCCCTCCTTTTCTGCCGAACATCTGAAAGTAACAAAGAGTATGAAACACCCGCTGTTGGGCCCGGGCCCCGGGAATTAGTCCCGGCTACCCCCCCCCCCCTCTAGTCGGCCCTGTGCGTGTGTACAGTGTATAGTTATCAGAACAGAAAGGAGAAGAAACCATTTGGTGACCTCTTAGTTTTAAGCCTCTTAAGTTTATAATAAAGACAAATTGCTGAAATATAGCTAGGTGCAAGGCAAACTAGCAAAAAAAATAATTCTCGCCCATTAGAAAAGGTGGAGCCGGATACGCATTTGTATTTTCTTTGATCTGGTCGATGACATTTTCATTTAAGTTTGGATGAATAACCGAAGCCTTAATTTAAAATTGTAATGTAACCCATTGTGAAAACTTGGTGAACACTTCTACTCAAGCTGACCTTCAGGATTTAAGATAGATTTATAGGATGCTTGATCCAGGTGTTCCGGAAGTTGATTCATCGAGAAATTCATAGTTGATTGCTTATTGATTGAAAAGTGTGTTGATAAACAACGATAATTTGACAGATATTGGCACTTTAATAGAGTAGGCCGTAATTTGTAATCTTTGACATCTAGGCGATTTCGTTCATTTAAATTTTCGACCGAATTCTATATCTCGGGAACCACAAAAATAGGTACTATGATTTTGGTGTCATTTTGCTTCTCTAAGTATCTCTAGTTTCTCTGAGTCCGATATGGTTTTGGCTTTCTCTATCCCGAGATCGCGGCACGGACAGACAGATATTGGAAATTTCGCTCCCTTAGTGCAACAACTAGATAACTCGAAATTTATGCATTTTGAGTTATCCAGTTTAATCTGTCCTATTTTTCATGCTCTTTTCAATGCAACAATTGTATATTATGTACGAGCAACCAAACCTATTTTTGAAGGGTGACTAAAAACAGATAACTCCCAATATATACATTTTATAACTAGAGATCTTGAGATATCTAGTTTAAGTACTGGTATTATTGAGTTATCTGCCGGCAACTTCTTGGTCGCTATGAGATATCTAGTTGTGTGCTTGAAACAACAGGTTTGTTACTGTGCTGCTAAATTGTTTTTACGGTGTCTTTTTAAAAGCTATAACTTGGTTAGTGGGCAGAAAATATGCTGGTTGAACTTTTCAAAATCGACGCCATTTATTATTAATTTTATAGAAGATTTTGATGGGGAGTTTAGACGTCTAAATTTTAAACGTAAAACACGTATGTCGTCTTTAAATAATACTCAAGAGCCTTTGTATCAAAGTCAACTACCACTTAAAAAAAAAATATGGCGACCTTATGTCTTTGTTCAAAATGAATCATCCGGCCGGCTAGCGAGTATAAAGCATTTTTGAACGTCTTCCATTCCAAGGAGACCAACGTAAACGGCCTTAAAACATGGAAGATTCCCAAACTGACATCATTGATATTAACACTTAAGTTGTATCAAGGGTGGAATCTTTTCGGTTTTATTAAAACTAATCTTGTAAATTTTTTATTCAAAATAAAGTTGTATTTATTAGGTGATTTGCGTTTAATTGTTAGTGGTTATAAATAGACAACTTTACTTTTTTTTAGCAACAACTAGATATCTCAAGTTTTTGATTAAATTCTGCAAAGATGTAAAACCTAATTGTTTCCAAAATTAACAAATCATAATTTGATATGCAACATATCTGTATAGATATTAAATATTTTTGATTACTTAACAGGTGTATTTTTTTGCGTTTTGAATCTTTAAAGTGGATTTTCTCAAAACTATAAATTTCAAGTTATCGAGTTGTTGCACTAAGGGGATGATTTAATATAGCAGGATAGTCCGCTGGAATGGTTTGCTTCAGATACTGCAGATCTGAAAACTTTCTAGCGGTTATTATATTGCTCTTTCTTTGAGGTAATATAAGGTGGCGCAAAATAAAGTCCCCTATTTGTTTTTTATATAAAAGTAAGATTAATTAAAAAACAGTTATATTATAAATGAAAAATATTTATTTATACTCTAATAATTTGTTTTGTTGCACACAAAAAACAATATCGACCATATCGCCACCCCCAGCATTAATGCAATATTGAGCTTTTTTAAAGCATTTTTCATAACTTTCTCCAACATTTTAGGCTGTATTCTGTCAATTTCTTCCCGGATGTTGTCTTTTCATGCTTTTAGTGTTCGATGATTATTTACAAATACCCTATCTTTGAGATAACCCCATAACCAAAAGTCTGGAACAGTTACATCGGGAGACATTGGCGGATATGCAATATCGGCGTATTTCGAGATAAGGCGTTCAGGAAAAATTCTGATAATCGACGAATTATTTTGATAAAAAAATTTTACTATTTTGGCACGTTCTCGAGGCGTATATCGATTCACAATGAATTTCCCAAGTATCTACTTTGCAACTGACAGAAAAACTCGAACAGATGTCAAATACAAACGAAACCATGACATTCCTTAGGATACTTGATTTTGCGCCACCTTGCATTTGTCATTCATCTTCAAATATTAGTTTATAATAGATAACACCATCAGGTGTGTATCTGGGAGCGCTTCCTATTTCTTCCTGGTTGGATACTTTTTCAAAATTCGATGCTATTGAATTTCTTGAAAAATGTATATTCGATGTACGTGACATCGTACGGTTTTGGCTTTTTACGAGCTGTTCTGAAAATTAAAATATATTCGGCAGGCGTCTTTTAATAGCGGAGTATGACCTGACCTACCTCAAAATATTGAGATTGAAATTAATTGCAAAATTGAGAAAAGCATTACATAAAATAGCATTCCTATTTTGGTGTCGGTGTAAATAATTATAACTTTTTTAAAGTTTTCATCGGCATTGTGGAGGTTATTTATTTGAGATAGTATCTTATTCTCAAAAAAATGAATCCATATAGCTGCAAATTTATCGGAACTCACCACACCTTCTCTTCCATTCCACGCATAGCAATATCCACTTTACTGCTGAGATTAAAAAAGCACAAATTATAAACTTGCAGCTTAGTTCTGTAATATAAACTGCTGACATTAGATTTTGGGGCCATCAGAACACCTTGTAGATCTGCAGTGAATACAAGTAAATGTTAATTTTTATCACGTCCTTTTTTGACTCGTGCTTCGTTTTTACGCAGAAGGTGTAAATTATATTCATCGTCAGCTTACCAAGTTTGTAAATAGTACATTTTCCACAGAGGTCTTTTTTTGGAGAAAATAGTGCTGTTTCTTCTATCTAAAGCTTCATTAAAAATCGTGATCGATAAAGCAGCTGAATTTTGAGAAGAACACCTATCCTTAACGTAAAAGTCGTATTAACTTTTGTCTACACTCACATGGATATTAGCTTATCTACGCACAAATTACAAAACGAAAAAGTATACTATTGCCATTAACTAAACGACTATATTTTATATCCATTCTATGCAGTGGGAACACTGCAAAAAAATGAAATCCACCAATCACAGTTTATATTTTGGTCCTCGACGACTATTATTTTTAAGATTTTAAATAAGTGACAATTCTGCCAAACTAATTGTCAATATATTTTTAGTTATTGAACTTAAATATACATTATTTATTTAAATACGGTGAACCCGTAAAATAAAAATAATTTGAACTACAAACTGTGGCAACCAAGCAAGCGTTTTCTGAGAATATTGAACATGTGAATTATTACGCAGAAGTGTATCTAAACGCCATCTATCGCCAACTTAGTTAATTAATAGTTTTTGTCATGAATATTATGGCGTGCAAATTTCGTCTTAAAAAACTACGGTTGGACAAATATGAATAATAATATAATAATAGAAGTTTATTAGTAAAAATAACAATATACAAAAATACAATGATTGAAATGAAAAGAATTTTCAGAAAATCCAAAATATTTTAATTTGACGTAAAGTAGATTGTAATTGATAGTTAATTAGTCTACTATCTATGATACTATTAAAAAAAATGACTGTTATAGCTCATAACAAAAAATAGTTTTCAAAATGATACTGCTAAACTTGCTGTCCGTCACTTCTAGAATACATTCCGGTACCATCGGTACCATTTCCTTCTGTAAAACGAGTTGCCTACCTTCAAGACAACTATCTTGAAGATATATTCATTCCAACAAGCCTTCAACCTTCGTAAAATATCGCGCACCGCTAACTCTTTCAACTTTTACGCGGCACCTACATACCTGGGCAAACAGAAACAGTCGCTCGGGTCAGGTACCCACAGTACCCCAACGTAGTACCTTATCTTTAGCAGTACCACCGCTAGACGGACGACTTACTGGCAATCGTAGGAAGAGGCTTAAGACACTTAAGACGACAGGTGCCCCGTTCAAGATCGAGAAGTAGTAGGTACCCTTTTTAGTGAGCAGTTTGCAGACGTGATCGCTTTGACAATAAGACATTAAATCGGTGGATTTGAATTTTTTTCGTTAACATGCGAGGTTTGTGCATTTAGTGTTGGGTTTTTTGCCTTTTGTGTGAGTGCGTGCGTGATTTTTTTTTTAACCAAAGTGCACCCTATGGGATTTTACTTTTGTTGTTATAATACTTCTAAAAGGTGAATATATGAAATTTTTTAATTGATATTAAATATAAAGTATAACTAGGTCATTTAACTTTTATTATTTATAGTTAATAATAATAGATCTATATGAAAAAACCATTTAAATTATGTTGTTTTGATAATTTAAAAAATTGAAAGAACTTTTATCAATTATTACTAAATCTACATAACAATTATTTCGTTATTTTTTACTTTACTGTTTTGAAGGTGAAACTGCAATTGAAAATATAAATCCAAGTTGATCTAATTTATTATTGACCAAAAATAAAAGTGAGCTAAAGCTGTAGAGAGCTTCTAACTAAGAAGTTTATAAGGAAAACTAATTTTTGGATAATATCCATCAAATTTACAGTTAAAAATTTGGGGATTTTTTGTAAGCTTTGTAAATTACATGGTAGGTATGATCAAGTATCATTCTGTTCAAAATATCATACCTGGAGTTGATTGAAAAAAATTTTTTTTTCGAATATGACACAACTTTATAATTCGTCATGTTTAGATTAAGGTTATTGTAAACACACTAGGTTTTATATCGAGTGTGTTTAACAATCGAGAATAATAATTGTACAAAACTATAAATCTTCTTATTGACATGCATCATAAATATAAATATATTAACGGTCCTATGTTAGTTCCTCGAGAGACACCTATAATTGGGAGGACTTTGAGAGGTCCATCGCCTTTGAATAAAAGTTTAATTAATATTCACTCAACCATCAAAAATTTTTATAAATAAATCTTAAACATTTAATTTATGTGGTAACAATTTTAAAACAAATGAAACATTATTTTAGTTTGTTAAAATTAAGAATATATTGTTATACTAAATTAAGTAGGTATCTTAACTAAAATAAGCTAAATATACTCCGTTTTCTTTTTCTAATTGAACTCCGGGGGGTTGGGGGGGGGGGGGGCTGTGAAAGTCACATCGGTTTGCGAACTTCATTAGATATTTTAAACCTTTTCATTGCTATATGTATTAATGCATTATGTAATAAAGGCCAGCAGAAAAGAAGATTCGATCGAATCCCACTACAAAAATTAAACCTCACAGAGCAGAGGCAAGGGTCCAGTCACATCGTAAAATGCATTCAAAAAAAAACACTTTAACTGGCCATTTTCATATTCCAGGAGAGAGGCCATAGAAAAATACAGGAGAAGAAATTATCATAAAACATTATCTACAAATAATTCAATCAATATTTTTGTGTAAACGAATCTAATTTACAATAATAGGAATTATTAATTTCAAAATGTATAAAGCAGGCGCGGATACAAGGGGGGGGGAATAGTGTAATTACCACCCCCTTCCCCCCGAACTGCTCGAACAAATCCAGGAATTTATTAAATTGTAATCTAAAAACAACGAGATTTTACGACAAAGCAAAAAAAAACAAGATGACGGTGATGAATGAAGAATAGCGAAGCACAGGCTGGCGTACAGTATTTTTTGTTATTTTGTAAATAAACGAATAATCCTTTGATAAAATTTTCTACTCCCCCCCCCCCGAAAAATACTCCCAGATCCGCTCCTGGTATAAAGATATAATTAATGAATATAAAGAAAACTTATTTACATTCATAAAATGAGTACTGATTTACGCTCAGGGACGTATTTTTAACTTTTTAAAGGAGGGGTTGACACCTGTCTTTTCTCCTATAGAAAATTTCAAAAATTTTTAATTCGAATTCAGTTTTAGCGCACCCAAAACAGTTATTTTACGTGTTGTAATTTGCGTTGGCAGATTTCGCGGAAATTAAAAGATGTGTTGCTTGACCAAGGAAGGTCCGGACGGACCCTCTTAACCCCCGTTTTCCTTATGTACGTAGGTGCTTACGCTAAAGAAAATTTATAATTTAAAAGGTCAGGACAGGATCAGTTTTGTACAAAATTATTAAATCTATGCAGTATAAATATAAAACAGTTGATGGACAAAAAAGACTCTGCCAACAAAAACATATTGTTGCAGCCTAAATTACATTTTAGCATAAATTTTTACAAATTCGAAGAAAAAAATGTAACATTTGTGTACCTTGATGAAACTTTACCTTGATTTATCTGAAAGAATCTCGGACTTCGTGAATGGGAAGGAAAAAGTGCCTTGATAACAAATTATTATGCCAAAGAAGGCAGCAAAGCACCTCGGGAATTTTGAGTTGAAACATATGCCACATTTTAAGGCTATTTTAAGGCTATTTTTATTCCCTATTCAAAAATTTTATGCTCCTCATTTTTTGCAAAAATCAAGGTGCTCTGCTAGCTTCGAACGAAGTTAGCAGAGCACCTCAGGTTTTTAAAGCTTTTTTCCAAAACCAACGACACCATATTTTTAGGCTATTTTTAGGCTCTTAAAATATTATAAAACTTTTCGAAAAATTTTGATATTTTTAAAAAATACAGAGTGCTTTGCTAGCTTCGAAGGAATCTAGCAGAGCACCTCGGTTTTTTAAAGCTTTTTTCTAAAAACAACTACACCACATTTTTAGGCTTTTGAAATATTATAAAACTTGCTATTTTTAAATAAGTAATACAGAGTGCTTTGTTGGAGCAAAGTCAGCAGAGCACCTCGGTTTATTATTTTTTTTTTTTTTCAGAAAACTAATGCTACATTTTTAAGCTATTTTTAGGCTCTTGATATATAACTTTTCAAGAAAAAAATATTTTTTAAAGAATTATGTCAAATAGGTCACTGTTTTAGGGTTACTACTAAAATTATTAATGTTACTTTTAGTCAATTTAGTCACGTGAGATATGAATATTATTGAAGACTCTGCGTATGAGTAGGTATTATGATATGAGTGATATTTAGATTTGATTGCAACATTTACTTTGCAATTTTAATATAATCAACAGGTATGAAATTTTTAACACGGACACTACCTTGTAATTGGTATTTACACCAATTTTGAATCAATCAATCCCAGCTAAAACAACTTATTTGTGTTGATTTCGATTATTTTTTCCGCATTGATATAATTAATCGTAGAAATTAAAATGTTTGTTAATTAAGGGTTTTTTTCAATGAGCCTATCCTAATCTTAATAAGTATTTAATACAAATTTTCTTTTAATTTGACTTACAAAGTGACATTTTTGTAATTGCAGCGAGTGTCCAAATGATCTATCTACTTTGAGTTACATAAAGTTGAACATTATGTAACTGGTTATGTCATAAATATGTTCATGATTGCGAAAAGAAAATAAATAAAAGAAACCTTTTTTTTGAATAATTTATATTATTTCAAGAGCCTAAAAATAGCCTAAAAATGTGGTGAAGTTGTTTTTAGAAAAAGCTTTAAAAAACCGAGGTGCTCTGCTGGATTCCTTCAAAGCTAGCAAAGCACTCTGTATTCCTTAAAAAATACATTTTTTTGAAAAGTTATATATTGTTTTAAGAGCCTGAAAATAGCCTAAAAATGTGGTGTAGTTGTTTTTAGAAAAAAGCTTTAAAAAACCGAGGTGCTCTGCTAGATTCGTTCGAAGCTAGCAAAGCACCCTGTATTTTTTAAAAATAACAAAAATTTTCGAAAAGTTTTATAATATTTTAAGAGCCTAAAAATAGCCTAAAAATATGGTGTCGTTGGTTTTGGAAAAAAGCTTTAAAAAACTGAGGTGCTCTGCTGACTTCGTTCGAAGCTAGCAGCGCACCTTGATTTTTGCAAAAAATGAGGAGCATACATTTTTTGAATAGGGTATAAAAATAGCATTAAAATAGCCTAAAAATGTGGCATATGTTTCAACTCAAAATTCCCGAGGTACTTTGCTGCCTTCTTTGGCATCAAATTATTTTAAATGTTTCTAATCAATTTTTTTAATATGACCCCCCAACTTTTGAGTTTATTTTATTATAATATTGTATTATTTTTATCAAACAGGTTTGTGGGATTTGATAAAAAACGATTTTAAGAATAAAAACAATTGGCCCAATGTATAGAATAATGTTGTAGTTTAAGCCAGCACTGAAAATAAAAAATGTGCAGTGCAAAGTATAAAAGTTATTAGAAACAAAAAAAGCAACAGAAATCGCAAAACCCGCTAATGAATTGTTTCTAAAATATTTATTAGAATATACAATATTAGTTTAGTAAATCAACAGGGGAAGTCAAGTAACATTGTCGACGTGTTGATCCTAAAGGTGTTATTGGTGGTGACAACTTTAACACGGTATCCTCTGTTAACTTTCGAATTTTGAAGTTAACTCCAAAACGGATGAAGAGAAAAGCACAAAATTTTAAATTAGAGCTTGAATCCATCCTGCAGTAAGCTGATTAAATTTTGAGCATAGTCGAAGCATCTGGGGGAGTACTGTATAGGGCGTCGTTTTTTTACATTTAGGAATATCTGTTATTTAAGATTTGAGAAAAAAATTCTTTAAATAAAACTTGTTTGCGATATTATTCTCTTTAATTTTTGTTACATATATGATTTCTCTAAAATGGACCGTAATGGAAAACTTTAAGGAAAAGTACAAAATTTTAATTTTTCGTTGGCAATAAGAATTTATAAAAAACATTTCGAGTAGGATGTATGTGGAAAATGTATGTATTTAGTTCATCCTCCAAACATGTACAGGGGTGATAAAATAGGTTCTGTAGAATAACAATAAAAAGCTTATATTAACTTTATCTAAGACAGGAAAGTCATGTGCAGATTTTTAAATAATCCTTGACTCTTGTCTAATTGATAAATTATCAGCAAAAACATCCTTTACAATAGCTTCAAATCCATTTTATTATTAGGTGATTTTTTAACTTCTATTTTACATCGAAAAATTTTTCTAAAATTAATTTAAAATGACAGTCTATTTTTAAAAATAATTGCTACGATTTTTTTTAGAATTAAGGTATAATACGCAGCATATAGAGAAGTAATTGGTAATAATTTTTCGGTCAGAAATTCATTTAATCTAACGACTCATTTGAAATGACATATATCACACAATATTTGAGAAACTAACTTTTATAGATCTCGAAAAATACTGTAATTAAAACAAA